TGTCTTTTTATGTAATAATCAACTTCGAACATTCAAGCTTTAATTTTAAAGTATTTCGAAAGATTTAAATGTCATTAAAGGAAAGGAATGATAAAGATTTCAGAAAATGATGAACAGAATTAAGTTTGGGAAAATGCAAGTACTTCAAACGAGATATGCAAGTCGATATCTCTGTCAGAGGCCATGCATATTGTAGTTAATATACACTGAAGTGTCACTGAATTAGGAATAGACATGGCTATGGAAACGGTGTAACGCTACGCCGCATTTATGCTCACTTGAGGACTTTGCCGTAGCTACTTATATATCTAGTTCTGGCTGCTGTTGATCAGTCTTTACACTTGTCAGTATGCGTAAAACTTCTGATTTAGGCACATTCGATCACATTCGTTCGACGCATGGTCCATTCAGTTTCCAAAATCGTCAGAGGGCTAGGATTTTTAAGGTCGACAGTGTCAAAAGTATAACGAGAGTACACGGATGATGGGAAAAAGAACTAGCCACCGGGAAAATTGCAAGGGACAATTAGCTTCAAATGAGCGTGGTGTGAGACTCCCCGGCCGTATTGTACATAGTCAACGAAGCCAAACATTAGCTCAAATTACTACCCAGCTGAATCAGGTCGCCAGACGTATAGTCAGTGAATGGACCGTGTAACGTTTGCTTCGCTATATGGGCTTCGGGAGCCGTAGATCCATGAAAGCACCATTGCTCAATGCATGCTATCGAGTCGTACGTCTTGCCAAGGCAAAAGAACGTAGAGAATGGACTCTGGAGGACTGGAAACTTGTAACATGGAATGAGGAGTCTCGATTCCGATTACTTAACACCAATGGAAGGCTGAAAATAGGGTCTCAGGCTCATGAGGAAAGGGATCCTGCACGCCAGGTTGGAACTTTAAAAGGCCATCGCGGTTTAATCCTGGTCTAGGATGTTTTTTAGGCAGTGTTTGGAATCTTTATTACTTGTACCACACTCTCTCAATGTGATTCAGTATGCAGAATTGCTGACGATCATCTCCATAGATTTATGTCGTCCTGTCATTCACATTGAAATGGAGTATTCCAGCAATATAACTCAACCTCTCACAGGTCCCCGTTGGCTACTGCCTTTTGGATTACCATTCCTCTGACTTCTGTGCCATAAACTGTCTACCTAGAGGCTCTGACTTAAATCCTACTGAGCACCTTTCGGATGTTTTAGGGAAAGGTGTGAAAACATGTCACACAATATTAGCGACCCCTTCCTCAATTATGAACAGTTCTTATCCTATGTTTGAAAAAGCCAGTCCCATACAATACTTCCGCAAACTTATTGAAACTATGCCTCGTCGTGTGACAGCTATTATCAAGGCGTCCATTATCGTGTAACAGCCACTATCCTCCTCTGGAGCAGCGCCAGAGGAGGCAAAACTCGTTATTGACTTGCTGTCCCTAATTCAGGACACTTCAGGGTAGAGGATTAATGTTTTAAATAAGTTAAAATCTGTTTTTTAAATTAGGTTAGAAGACATCTCAGAGCTTCCTGCATTTTCTTCAGAGCAAACTATAGCTAATCTTCAGACATTAGTAATTGAAAATATTAAAATTCATTTTAGAGCAGGTATCCATTTAGAACAATATAAATATAAGCTACATAAAAGATGACTATGAAACTGGTGTAAGCATTGCAGAAACTGATAGCAATAGTGATACAGGAAAATGTGATGACATGCCATCATCAACCGCATCTTGAAAAGAGCTGAAAATTTTAAGAAAAACTCTTGATCTGAAAGCGGCTAAGGAAAAACGTTGCTAGCAGTTTTACGAAATTAAGAATATAACTGAGTAAGTTTTGTTCAATTATATGAAACAAACACAGATTCTTTGTAATATTGAATGAAATCTCTATATTTCATACTTGTTCTAAACTTCGCTGAAGATGCACATGTCTTAAACATTTTATTTCCGGATGATATAAATAAGCCTTTGATCAAACTTTGAGCACTGTAATACTGAAGTACACAGAACCACTTTTGAGTACTGTAGAATACAAAACATTTTGCACAAAACACAGCAGGTAAAAAACAACGGGAAATAGAGGAAATTGACTAACTCATTGAAGTTTACGTAATATTCTTTAATAGCACAGTTTTCATTGGCTTTGAAACTAACTCATAAAGCACTGTTGGACATGGGATTTATCATTTTCTAGAAAATGATTAATTTGATTACTTTTAATGATTTATTAATTTCGTTTTAGCATTTTGCGTCGAAAACTTTAAAAGTCTGAATCCCTTTTCAAATTGTTGCTACCAAATATTATCGCCCTGTATTATATTTAAAGAAATTAAATAATGAAGAATCTGTATAAATGTATATATGTTTCTCGCATTGTGATAAAACGACGGTACCTAGAGCCACCAAATTTTGAATAACGTAATCTTTCACCGAATATGGGCATCTGGTAGCCCTAATTTGGAATTTGTTATATTATCGATTTCATATTTTGTAAAACTTTAACTAATTTTTGATTAAAAAACTAAACGATTTCAAAGCGAGCAGTGGCAACACTGTACGAAAAAAAAATATTTTTATCTCCAGCGCGCGAGACTGTGTATCGGAAATTCTAAAGATATACTGTTTTAAATATTTTGTGATATTGCTATTGAATTTTATGGCTTAAGCGCGAAGAACATGATATTTAATAAATAAAGGTAACACATAAACTTCTGAGCGTAATATAAAATTTGAAAGCTTTCAGATTTTTTTGTGTAATTCATCTGATATTATTATTAAAAAGCTCCTTAGCAAACAGACTAAAGCAGTTGTTAAGAATGATGCGTAGATGAAATTTAAATAATAAACATTATAATTAACGCAGTTAAAGGAAAAGTTTCTTATATAAAATATTTAAAGAATGTAAATTTCGTAGTGTTCATATTTTAACATAAGGCGTATACTTTCACAAGTATGCGAGAAAATTATATGTGAATTTTTAGCTTTTGACAAAGCATTGCGGAGTAATCTTAAAGAAAAACCGAATAAATCATGGAAATGGAATAATGTGCAATTTAAGAAATTAATTTTCTTTTTAAATAATTTGCTTTGTTTTATTTCATTCACATTAATTGTCTGCTTTATATTTTATTAACATTAATTTCATAGTACAATGCGAGATTTTAATAGATTTTGTTTTAAAATTTTTGTTTTTCAATCCAAAGGGGCTATTTGCCCGGAAGGGCTATTAATTTCATTTTGGCATTTGGCGTCGTCCACTGTAGAACGGCGTTTCACTTTTCAAATTGTTGCCACCAAATATTAGAGCGTTCCATACTATCTAAAGAAATTAAAAAATAAAGAATCTGTATGAATGCATGTATATTTCTCGTATTGCCCAAAATCAACGGTACATAGAGACATCAAATTTTGAATAATGTCATCCTCCACTCCAATATGAGCATCTGAAAACCCCAATTTGGAATTTGTTTTATTTCTTATTTCACATTTTATAAAACTTTAACAAAGCTTTGATTAACAAATTCAGCGATTTCAAAGCGAGCACTGTACGGGGGGGGGGAATTTCCAGTGCGCGAGCCTGTGTATCGGAAATTTTAAAGATACGCTCTTTCTAAATATTTTGTGATACTGCTGTTGAACTGCATTTTTTTGGTTTAAATGAGAAGAACAGTAGGGTGTGTTACTTTTAACAAATAACGCGTGTTACCTTAAAGGTAACAAAAGTAACACATACATAAACAAAGATAACACATGAAACGTTAAAAAACGCCCTTTTGGGCCTAATATAAAATCTGAAAGCTTTCAGATTTTTTAATTAAATTTTTTTTTTTTTTTGCTTTCTGTTACATATACGTAATATATATATATATTATATTTACTAAAGAAATATTGATTATATTATCTCCTAATATTAATTTTAGTAGAAGAATGTAAGATAATTTAGAACAGGAAATTCAACTACTTGCAAAGATGGGTGGTGGAATATTTCTTTTAACTTGAAAAGTTTCACATTTTTGCCCTATCCATATCTAATGACAACATAATTGATTGAGACAGAGTTACGCGTCGAAACGTTCATCTTACCCTAAGTAAAAGTAGGAATGCAGCCTGTGTAAGATGGACTATTGGTTCAGAGTGATTTAAGACTTTACTCTGAATTTTTCCATTGGTTGTTAAAAAGTTTCAATTCAGTTCAAACTGAAATATGACTCATTGAAGTGTTTATATAAATTTTGTGTCATTAGTGTCTTTCAAAAACCGCATAACGTCAAATAATTTTGAAATGTCGCAGTTTAAAGAGGACAGGAAAGAGAAATATCGAAGTTAAAATGTAGAATTAAGGAACTATTGCAAATTAAAGTTAAAATTTTTTAATTACATAATTTTTTATCATACAATATATATAAATAATTATCATTTTACCAATTTGTTAAATATTTTATTATGCATTCATTTACTATATTGTTGGAAAGATGAATCCAGGGGCCAATAAAGACATCTGGAGCCTTACGTACAAAGTTCTTTCTTTGGTCTCAGCGTTAATTTCCGTACTTTTGGGGGAGGGGTTTGAAAACAGGTTTATGAGGAATTACAGGGTGGTTGGGACTATTTATTTCTAGAATTGTTGAGGACCTTGAGGGCCTAGGTGGTACACCCAGAGCCTGACTAAGGCAGGGGCGTACAGGGCAATTTCCCTGGCCTCCACATCAGAGGGGAACCCCAAATTGAATAGAAAGTTTATTATTATAAAAATTTAAATACCTCCATAAAGTTCGGTTGTTCATTACTGAAGTAGTGAAGGAGAAGGAGCCCCCCCCCAATGAAGGTTTTGCCTGGGGCCCCAATTAGGCTAAGTCGGGCCCTGGGCAGGCCTCGTATGAACTATTCACATAAAAATTCAAAACGATCGTTAAGTTTTAAATGTCAGCATATTTGACATAAAAATGTGTAAACGTTAAAAATGCTTTTATTTTTATTAGATCTTTTTATTTTTATTTTCAGATGAAAGTATTAGCAATCATAGCCGCTGTTCTTGGAGGAGCTGTTTTAGCTGTTGGAGTAGGTATTATGCTTCTATGAAAAGCCTTCCCAAAGTAATACCAGTGTACATTTAGAAGTTGTGTCTGGAAAAGTTAAATATTTGAACGTTCCGAAGTGCTTGTAACCACAAATTGTACAAGTATTCATTTTTTCTTGTTTCTGCATTTACGTACTGTTTTAAGTGCTGAAGTAATTTGTTTTCTCCCTTTTATTTTTAACGGCACTGCAGATTCATTAAAAGTGATGCATGTGTATTTGCTTATGTAATTGAAATGTATTGCATCTGTACCTAAATGTAATTAAACGTTGAAACCATGTACATCACATTGACTATTCTTTAAAATAATTTTAATGCATTTCCATTGACATTATACTATTCTTATTAAATGTAGTTTCCCAATTGTTTACATGTAATTAAACATATTCGGCTTTTTTATTACTCTAATGTTTAATAAATGTAATTATTTACATCAAAGATTGACTTGCTGTTAAACATTTTACTTACTCACGTTTTAAATAACAAACCGATATTGGTTTTACGTGTAAAGTGCGAGAAATGTGCTAATATATTATACGGTGTAAAAGTAAAAAATTAATCTTTCGTACAACATTGTACATATCATTTGTACAGAGAATATTTTCCGCTACACGATAAGCTACTAAATTCTAAGGATTTTTGAGTTTTTGATAGGTAAAAGCATGTTTTATGTGCGGTAGATTCAAGCGGCGAGTTTCGACAAAGCAGCAAACACAGCTCAGCTCTCGTCAAAAGTTTTTCTTATGATATTCCTTATCTGTATAACTTCAGGGTTTCAGGCATATCATTTCGGTTTTTTTCAGGACACCAAATGATGATGATACCTTCAAAAAGTGTGATAAGGTATATTCAGTTAACTTGCATCCAGTGAAAAACTGCTTATTGCCACTCGAGATTTCACGAATGTAACTAAAGATATCGAAAAACAGAAAAATATGATCCAGAAACGTAAATCAAATAAAAATCATAAAATTACTATTTCTTAGTTAAAACGCAGCATCAATCTAGATTAAAAAAGTATAAATTATTTGGTATTAGCAGAGCTCCAAAGACCTACCAAAATGTGCTGTAACTCACTCAAACTGGAAACTTTTTTAAAAAATGTTTCTTCACATTTACGACAAACATACATAGAAAATTTCACTCATTTTATATTCAGTAATATTTTTTGATTGGTAGCATATTTTTTAAGCATAGGGTGAGATAAATTTTATAGTATTTTTAATTTCCTATTGATGAAGGGGCGTATGAAATTGTTCCGAAGATAAATGGAATTTTCCATCCCGGAATCCTAGAATTAAATCGTGAGACATCAACATCATTTGTTTGAATGGTAACCGGATTTTACTTCCCGAAATCCTAGAATTAAGTGCTGAGTCACCAACGAAGCATTTGCATGGTAAAATTCAAGATATTCAGCAACTAGAAACCTTGGCTCCAGTTAGATTAAATTCTTTTTTTAAAAACCAATGGCTGGCTCTCAGCCGAGTTCGGTTTTGCCACTACTAAGGCAAGAAGTATTGGTCACTTTCTTATGGAGGCACCTAATAGGTGGGCCAGATTTGCCTCCTATGAAGAGACGGACATTCTGAAATGCTTAACTAAAACTATTCTAAACCATGTCTTCTCCGGGTCCTTTGGTATTGCAGTCGACTCCCCTAACCACTATACCGTCAGGGAGGCCAGGTTGAAATTTAAAGTTCTCTAACCAGGTCGTTAATACCTTTGCTGCCAAATTATTTAGATTCGGTTGGGAATAATTGTAAGGTTTTATGTTATGAGTAAAAGTATCTTAATTAGTTTGCCTGGCCGTTTTACTTCGATTTCTGTGAACTCCCGCGAGAACACAAATTAGTTAAAGTAAATATAAACACAGAGTCCATGAATTTAAGAAGGAGCTTTGGCAGTACAGACTGATTGTTACTCAGCTACTTTTCCCTGCTTTTTGAAATGAATTGATCGGTTTTGGGGGTTTCAGCAAGGTTTTTCTGCTCCTTGGGTACTTAAGACAGAGCCAAGATTTAGGCGAGTGTTAATCACATCCAAATTTAATTTTAAAGTCTGCTTTGAAATACGAGCAAGCAGCTCAGTAGATTTCAATTATATTTCTACTTTTGTGCAACTGTAAGGTAAACGTGTTAATAAATATATTTTAAATCATCATTTTCAGTTGCGATTAGTATACCTATAAAGTAAGATAAAAATCTGATTTTCCTCACAGTCCTAGTAGTCTGGCATTTTAAAGGAATGCGGAAACGTATTTACACAATTCGTTATATACATATTTATAAAAAAAATTTACAATCCCTGTATGAAATAAGTGACAAAGAAATGTTCTATGAAAATTCTGAAAATCAGTAACCAAAAACATTTAGGAATAATTCAGGAAATAATATCTGGTATTTTTACTTCCTTGTAGGAAGTAAAAATACCAGATATTAATAATGATCTTTCTTGTAGGAAGTAAAGAAAGTATTCTAATCCCGAAAATTTCGGACATCATTTCTCAACGGGATTATCTATTTTGACTGTTCAGGAATACATTTGGACGATTTTTTGCGTGAGTTCTGTACTTAGGGACAAAATAAAGGACTCTTGTTTCCAAAACGGGTTGTAAAATGGATTTATTTCATTTTAAATCGTGATATCTGTACGTACGTACGTATGTATCTGGCATAACTCAAAAATGATTAGCCGAGGTATGTGGACATTCTGTATATATATTAGTCTGCTATAACACTTGGCTGTGCACCTCCCTTTTTTATTGCAATCGGCAGTACAGTATATATACATATATATATATATACTGAGCCCTTACCCGGCTTCAAAGTCCCTACTTTTCGTAATCGTTGGTAGTAGTCATATACACTGCCCTCCGAAAATTAAGAAACAGCAAGTTTTTTTGTGTCTAATTTAAGAATAAAGCAAGATAGAAAGAAATTTACAGGACATATCACTCAACAGTTCTTTAACAAATGCGACATAGAATATTTCTAAAGTTCAACAAAGACAGGAATTACAACAAAAAATTACACACTTGACAGAGATATCCAGTCTTGGAGAAACAGTATATCATCTTTTGAAGAAAAATAGGGTGGTAACATTACAAAAATGTCTTCTAATAGGGAATGAGTCCACCCCTAGCTGCAATACATTGACAGCAGAGACATTTCAAGACATTTAATTAAGTTGTCGGTCAGTACAATGGGGAGCAACGACCAGATACGGAGTAATCCTTGTTCAAGTTCATCTAAGGACCTTGGAGGAGCGCTTAAAAAGCAACCTGTCTCCCAGTGTAGTCCCAAAGATGCTCTATCGGATTCAGGTCTGGGACTGAGCTGGCCATTCCATCCGCTACATACCGTGACCCTCAAGATATTCTTCAGCAACCCGAGCTCGGTGTGGTCGCACATTGTCGTCCATCAGAAGAAATTCAGGACCAATAGAAGCGGCATGTGGGCGGACATATTGATCAAGGATCTCGTCTCGATATCTCACACCGGTTTAAGTTCTTTCATGGAACATATGCAGGTCAGTTTGACCACCGAGAGAGATCCCAGTCCAAACCGTTATTCCAACACTTCTGTAACTGTGTCTTTCCACAGTGTGGGATTGGTTGTATGTGATGCGTTGTTCCCTCTTTATGTTGTATGTGGTGCGTTGTTCCTTCTTTCCACAGTGTGGAATTGGTTGTATGTGGTGCGTTGTTCTCCAGATCAGTTGACGACCTGAATCACTCTCCAGTGTGAACCTGGATTCGTCTGTGAAGAGAACAGACTCCCATTGTTGACTGGTCCAGGAGACGTGTTCTCTTGCCCAACATAAACGGGCATCTCTATGTCCTCGGGTCAAGGGGATACAAACAACTGGTTGTTTTGCATACAGACCTGTATTGTGCAGGCGTCTGTAGTAGCTAAGATTCTAAATGATCAGCCACGAGCTGAGGCATAGTAATGTTACTCCTCCATCGAGCCGAAAGAGCTAACTAACGGTCTCCCGCAAGTGTTCTAACTCTAGGTCTGCCTGGACCATGTGTTCTAGACACAGAATCCTCGTATTCAAGCTGATTCCATAGTGTGTGGTCCGAGAAACACTGAGACGTCTGCTGTGATGTTGGTGTATTTAATTATGGTAAAGCACACGAGGGCTAGCTGCCTAAGGGGAGGGATGCCTTCGTGGAGGAATTTCTAAGGGAAACTGGCTCGTATACACGTTACACATGGGGAAAACCATGAAAACGCCCATGCAGCCATCCCGTTCGCGGAATTCGAACCTCGGACCGAATTACCAGTGTTCAGAGACTTTACTGCTCGGCCGCTGGTGGGCGTTCTGAGACGTCTGGCAACATCAGCTTGTTACATCCCCATTTCCATACATCCGATAAGCCTCCACCTCAACTAATTGGGCAAATGGCTTCTCTTGGAGATTGACAGAATGGAATTTCGTATTGTCCACGAAACTGTTATAACAACTGAAGATCAACACTGGTGAACAAATATTACAATTTTTACTTGATGCTTTAGTTGGGTATTCCGCTGTTCAGGAGGAATTTATCTTGCTCTTACCAGAGCTTATCACGGAATCCCACATAACGGCTCTTCATAATTGTTTCACGATAAAGATGTGAACACTTGAGATTAATAAAATGAGACACGTTGTCTCTGACCGAAAATGAGACCATCAGACTCACTGGCGGTGAGAGTGTGATGAGCTGAAGTCCAATCAACAGCGAGAAAACAGTCATTTGAATCCTACTATGCGATCGTCAATAGTAGTAAAATCCTGAGTATGCTTTTCAATACAGTTAATTAGTATTTGCATTTTTTCTCCAACTCGTATATAAATATTCATTTCTATAAAAGAATTGGTAGCTTTTGTTTTTTAATGTATTTTCTTAAACTTCGTTATTGTCATACATATGAACTGTGAATTATTTACTGTGTAAGTTAAAAATGGGTAAAATTATAACGTCTTGTATGCTTGGCTATCGTAAAATGTACTTGACACAAAAGACTGTTTGGTGAATTAACACGAAATCTTTTGAAGTACTCCAAAACCAGGAGAAAGGAGTAAAGAACCCCCTTATTAACTCAAATAAATTTCCCAGTTGGTATCAACTCGTGCTTACCAAAAGCCAATACTTTTGTATTAACTCAAAAGGTAAAGAAAAACGTAAAACTTAATGAAGTTATGTACAGCCTAACGGTTTCTGGTCTGGGTGTAACGGTTAACTTTCGAGCAAGCTGCCTTTGACTCGAAAGTCGTAACAGAGTATTACATGAAG